GCGCGCCGTCCGCCTCACGGCAGCGGCCAAAGGCGGGCGCGGCGCGCTGCCGCGCGACGACCGTTAACGGCCCGCGGCAGCCGTTAAACGGCCGGCGCCGCGCCCCGATAGCAGCGAGGAGACATGTCTGGTGTCACACTTGGCATCCCCCTGTGCGAGGGGGTGCAGTCTTGAGCCAGCCGTAACCCCACGTTTGCCCCAAACAAGGGAAATTATGCACAATAACGCCAGCACTTTTGCGCCTGTAAAATGCTAATTTTGCCCACAGGGTTATGAGGTGCGTGGGAAGCAAGGCAGGGAGGCAGCTTCCAAAATGCAAGCTAATGCACGGGCAAAATATTTGTGCATGTATGTGCAATTATGTTGTTTGCAAGGCAAAGTTCACACACAGAACAACAAATAACAAAATAGGCAGAAGAGCGCCTCGGCTATATAAATTAGCTGCAGGACATAATTGCTTACCAGTATGAGACAATAAAATAAAGTATTAACTGCTGAAAACACCCTGGACAAGCTTAGGTCAAAGTTACGAATGCAGAAATGCCAGAGTCAACCACAAGACTGAATTTCTCTTACAACATAGTGGTCTGTAATAAAAATATTTGAGTCCATCACCAGGAGACTACAGCAGCTTTCTGGAGCTGCAAATAAAAAAAAACAATAATAAAATCTCATCTAACCGTTCCAAGTAATACACTGCTACTGCAGCACTGTTTCACAGTCTGTGACAGTGTCGCACCATTAATAAGTGTCTGGGCCCATATTAAATATGATAAAAGTGATAAGCAGTTTAATTTTCCCTGCCAAGTGTCGACAGCCACAGTGCTGGCAGTGATGGTGACGCTGATGCTACCCCCAGGTTCATCCTGAGGCTCCAGGTGGCATCAATCTCACCACATTGCCTAGGGCTCTGCAGTGACCTCGAGGGAGCTGAAATAAGGCTCTATATCCCCCATAAAGAGAAATCAGATTAATTGAGCAAGCGCAGCGCGCGCTGTTGGTGTAAACGGTGGCTGGCGCGTGGCTCGCTCTGCGGCGCACATCCAGCGGCACGTGCCCGCGCGCGCTCCCAGCCACAAAGGTCTGCTAACCACACAGCCCCCAAGGGCGTCAAACTTCATATGCTCCAGCGTGGAACTGCAGTGAAAATGAATGTCTGCGGCTGACATGCAAAGTCTGCCCTCGCCGCACAGAAATGTTATTCCTTTAAGTCAAACTTGTTAGGCTGCCTTGAGTCTAACCAGGCAACGCAGTTAAGTTTAAGGCAATGTAGAAAGCAGAGCCAGATCGAGTTAAGCTCGAGGACTAGCCTGGATCTACATGCATCCTACAGAACCACTATCCAATTACATACATCAACTACCAATATAAAATCATCCCTTTGGCCAGGGAAATACTACATACCTGTAGCCAGCTTCAGATAAGGTTTTCAAAGTAGCCCTGGCGATTTAGTCACACATCTTCCAACTAATAAAGCAGCTAATAAAATAATAAAAATAAGTTAAACCCTTTGAATAGGTTAAAAGATCAGCTTAAATGGGCATCTGCTTTCAAATGGGAAAGGATCAAGTAGATCTTTGTTTTGAATCAGGGCAATTATTCCATTGACCCTCTTGCTATTGTCACTTCCTTCTGCCTAAATGTTGCCTATTAACCTCAATTTTAAATATAGCTGAACAGCACTGGCAGCTGAGGTTAAGTATGAAAACTTCAAAACATTTTATGTATTTGCATCATTTTTAAGAAATATAAATAAATAAAGATTAAGCAGAGTTTTTCCTTATTAAAGGAATTTCCACAAGGGATGCAACACTCGATTGCTTTGTTATAACCAAATCCCACCTCACATTCTTACAGTAGAATTTCTCCTATCCCATGACAGAAACCCAAATGCCGATGAACCCCACCAGCACTAACAGGGGAAAGAGCAGTCTGACTGTTTCCACATGTTTCTTCACTAAATTTCTGGCTAAAGTGTTCAAGTACATAGTCATCAGAAAAGCCTCTCCTCTGCATCAGGGGGTTGCTCAGCCGAGATCACATACATGTGCTGACAAAGTACTGAAGTCTGTCTTTAAAACGAGTATAGCATCATTGCTGTCAATATAAATAATTCATCTCTTACAGTCTAAACTGTTAAAATTTCTCAATTTTTATCTAGTGTTCTGAGTAAACAAGAATATCTTGAAGGAAATCTGACCTTGAAGCGACAGATATCCAGAAAAACAAGCGGAGTCCTTAGCAGGAATACAGACTTGCATGGGAGCTTCTGGGGTTTCCAGGCAGCTTTCTTCTAGTAGCACCAAGCATCCCTTTCAGGGATTGGCCATGTTCAGGATTTATGTTGCTAAGCTTTCTCAGGGCCACTATTCTTAGAAATTATTCTTCTCAGCTGTGTTATTTGCCTGTGGGAACAAGTTCAAACAGAGGAGCACCGCAAACACATTGGAATCAGAACAGCATTTTCTGATGTAATTTCATCAGCGTAAATCAGGCACATTTTGACTAATTCCAGCTGAAATATTTCTGATTTTCAGTGGGATGACAATTCCATATCGTTGGCACAGAATGTGCTGTTACTGAAAATAAGACCAGTCTCCTCTTTATGGATTTGGGATGACTTAAGCACAGAATGGTTAAGCTAAACTCTTAAAGTCAGAGCGGAAGTTTCTTTCATAATTAAGGGCTGAATCCTGCTCTCACTAGTCCCAAGCCACTCATTAATTGAAATTCTTTGCATGGAAGTACCAGAGTTGCCATAATACAGGGCATCAAATAATCTTTCTACATCATTTGTTATCACTCCTTTTCTCTAAAAGTTAAGCCATCCATCATACATGCCCACAAATCAGCAGCACTGACACAGGGGAAGAAAACAAGGGAAAAAAAATTTCTTCTTGACCCTCACAGCAACCAGCTTACACTGCTGAAGCAGGAAGCTTGTTTGTCCCTTACATTGTTTTAATCCAGCACATGCAGCTGCAAATGTTGCCTTTGCTCACAAAGCTCCCTTAATCCTTTTTTTAATTCTAGTAAACTCCTTGCCTTGATGACTGCTTACAGCAATTGGATTCCATAAACAGAAAATACACTGCATGAAATAACACTGTAAATGCATTCTGCAAGGTGTTGCTCTGCAACACACTGACCTTCACTAGCGAAGTGAGTATCTGCTCTACACTTAAATTCTCCAGTTGTATCAACAAGCCCATCATTTACTGACCACCTCAGATCTTTCTTTAGATAAGAATGCTCAGTGTTTTAAAGAGTTAAGCACACCCCCCTTCACCCTCTTTCAAGTCTTCCCTCCACCATCAGGTATATATATCCCTTCTCCCTATATCTTTTTCCCGCCCCCTCCCTTTACTCTGTACAGCTGTGACTTTTTAAAGCTCCTGAGCAAAATCCTGGTTCTCAGGAACACTGCCTGAGCACTTGTGCAGAACACACATAAATGCAGAGAAGCCACAGCAAACACAAGGTTAAGGTCTTCTACCATGTGGAGTCCCATGCTGGTTAGCCTGCTGTGTTGAAGTCAGTGATTGATTTTAATAGGAGCAGGGCTGAGCTAATGTTGGCACTTTGGAAAATCCCACCCAAGGGATTAAGTGATATCAGAAGTGCTGGAGGCAGGTTAACTGAGGGGCATTTCCACTAATGGGGAATGGTGCAATTGTCATTATTAATTTGCCTTCTCTAAAGTGTAATTAAGATGTACATATTTTATGTCTTCAGGAAAAATTCAGTGTGAAAATATATCTTTATTTTTAGAGTTTCACTGAGAGACAGATAAATGAGTGGCTTTCTGCAGTTCACCTACAGACCTTAAGATCTATTATGCCCCCAAGATCTACTCATACTCTCCATCTCCCTTTCTTTTTTCCTCCATCCAACCTAATACAAGTGAAAATAATGTGGCTGTCAGTTGCATTTGCAGTATTACCACTGGACATTCATAAAATAAAGGTTTTTATTATCTCCTTGGAGATGGGAGGCGGAGCCAGTATTCTCTTTCTTACAGTACCTACAAAACCAGAAGAAAAAAAAATCACAGTGGAGAAGATGAATGAGAAGAGGTCTATTAGCATAGGAAAAGAAAAAACAAGGTGCCAACAGCAGCAAGGGGGATGATGTAAGCAAATGCTAATACGGAGACATTGACATTTTTTGGAAAAGTCACTACAGGATGAGAGTGGGCATTCTGTAAAGAAAGACAAAGCTCTGGCAGTGGCTTTGCATACAAATCTGCAGGCGATATGTCCTGAAGTACTTTGGGTTTCTTCTGAGGGATGCCACTGGAAGCTATGAGGCCACACATGCCTGAGAGTTATCAGGGTCTGGCCAATATTTCACTCAAGACACAAGGCACAAGACCCTAGATAGGATCTTTACACACATTAGTTCAAACAACAACTAGAATTCTTAGTATAGGAGCTAACATTATGCCACGTACCTTCAAAAGCACCAAACCATCCTATTTCTTGTTGTGCTATGGTGGAGGTTTGTTCCATAGCATCACAATGAGGAGACATAAATATACCAGAAGTGTTGAGAAAAGTCATTACTGTATACAGTCCACAAGGTGTTTAAAATACTAAGTGAGGTGAATGGCAGAGCAGGGTGTGAAAAAAAAAACCCAAAACACCTGTTCTTGTTTCTACTCCCTACTTTTTTTTTCTACTTCAGAGCTTAGTGTTACTCTTCAGTTCTGATGAAAAATTGTTCTCTTCTTGCAAAGACCTTTTGCACCTCATTTTTAAGACACCGTGGCTCTAGCTGATATTAAACTGGAAAGTCATGATAATCCAGGGTCTGTCTGGATTAGGATTTCCCTGTGTCAGGTTGGAATGCACATCTCAGCAGGGCATAAATGGCATAAAAGAAGCAACAAGTGGTCATTTGCCTTTCAGATCAGTTTTAACCTTCAAGTTTTACTTCCTTCATGCTAGTGGTTTTTTTCATTTTAGTCTGAAATGGATTCTATTAGTCTACTAATCTCACTTCAAAAAGGAAGTCTACTGGTCATTTTTGAGTTATAAAAAGACCAATATTTGAATTTAAGTGTTAAAAGTGCCTTTCCTTTGGGACTAAATGCAGTTAATCCTCATTAAGGAATAATTACTTGCTAAATCTGATTTAATAATAACTAAAGTATAGGTGATTTTGCAAATACGCAGTAAGGCACTAGATTTTCAGTCAAGTTCCTGTCCTAGATGGAACAGAATTTTGGAGCTCCTGCCTGCACAGTGTGAATATCCCTTATGCTACAGCTCGCTTTCCCCTTTTCTCTACAGAATGATATATTTTAAAATCAGACAAACTCATCTATGTCCTGGCGATAACTAGAGGGAGAGGCTTTCTGTGCGTGTGGTGCAGCCCTGTAGCAGTTTCTGGAGCTGTGGAGACAGAGCAAACACCTCTCTGGTACAACGCTGGCACTACCGTTTGTTTTTCTCATTGCAAGCAACTGTTCTTTCCCAGCCATCCTCAGCCCTGTCTTGTCCCTGGATCTTGTTCGGGACTGAGATTTACTCAAATGGACCTTTTCCCCTTGAGGAGCCAGCTGGCACCAATCGAGCTGCAAGACTGGGGAGAAAGTTCAACTTTCCCCCGAAGTTCTGTGCTATTTAGCTGTATCAAATATTTACACAGCACAACTATTTTTTTTCATGCCATTTTTGTGCATATGTGAATTATTTGACATATGCCTTGTAAATCATATATCAGGATTTCCTGGAATTTCTGTCTTGACCACTTGAAGTGACATTGGCTGGACTTGTCACATTTTTTAGAGAAGTAGTTTAAACTGGTGCAGTTGTTCTTTAACTCGAGAATGACTGAAAATAGTTGCAGGAAGCTTCAGATTCTCTTTGGAACAGCTGTATATGAATGGTCAGTAGATTTTTGAACAGTAGATTTCAGCTCTATTTGCATTGTGTTTGGAAACTTTTGCAGTTTATTTGAAAGATAAAAATAAACAAACATTTGAGCATATTTAACATGCTCTGTATGATGTTTCTAGACTTTAAAAAAGAGTGTCTTCATGATTTTTGGAATACTTCTAGTGATGAAGTGGGAAGAACGAAATGGCAATTCAGAATAACTTCCAAGATTTGTATTCAAGATTTAATAGGTAAAAATCAAAGCAATCTTCATTAATAATTCTTTCAGTGAAATTTTTCTTCTTGAATCTTAATGTATACTTTTGAGGTAGACTATTCAGGAATGCTAGTTTCAAGAGAATTCAACTGCTTTAAATATCAGTGTGATATCTGGTATAACTAATAATGGGTGTGATATACTAGTCAAACACCACACATGTGTAATGTATACAGGTAGACACATACATAGATGTCGACATCCACGTAAAATGTACTGCAGCACTAAGGGATTACCTCTGGCTAAATGAAGAGCGGGATTAAGTGAACATATGGTGTTAAGAAAACTGGAAATGAAATCCCCCTCAATCCTAACTCTGCCACACTTGCATTCCTTATTAGAGGATTACTTCTGAGTCAGCGTGGACAAGCTTTCTGAGCAAGAAGTCCATGGACAGGAAGTTTCACGGATTGGTACTGGATTTGAGGGAAATCCTGCCAAGTGACTGTCTAGGTGAAGGGTACTTCAGCTCCTCTAGAACCTTAGAGCTCGTTTTTGCTTTGTGCTCTATCAATGCGTACATGTAGTCAAAGAGAGGTCTAAGAGAGGACTTAGTGGTTCCTTTTTACTCATTATCATATTGTGCCATGTAACTTTTTGCTTTTCTGTAAGTCAGACTACAGTTATAATATGATGATGCCTTATTACAAGCCTTTCTATACATAAATACATATTAAATAATGATGGGAACTTGTAAGCTTACACTAAATTGACATTTTTGATCCATAAAAATCTGTTTCAAAAAGTAATCTATTACATTAGTTTTAAAAACAACTGTTTTCTTGATTATTTACCTGAAAGCTATATTTACAGCAGATTAAAAAAAAAAGATCACTGCAACATCCATTATACAAATAGTGTGGTCTCACACTGGAGACCACAGAGTGAACATATCTCTGGAGAAGAGACTCCACAGTTCCCCTGCACAGTAATCAAATGTATACCATTACATTTAGCAGTATAGCCAGATCACATTTACCTCACAACCTCAGTAAGTTCCTCCAGACTGCAGTTTGGAAGTCACCTTAAAAGTGCGTTTTTCCTTAGAGCTTAGGTTATTCTGAAGTCATGCTTCTTCCTCCTGATCCTCCCAAAGACCCATTCATGTTAACCTCTTTGCCCTTGGAGCCTCTTCCCATAAGCTTTCAATTCTTGCTTGCATAACTCTTTAAAATCTATCCATCTCTTCCTGTTCAACTGACCATTTGCCTTCTTCTCCCATGAGAACAATCTGTTTTCTTCTCTGCATCCTAAAATAAACTCCCTGAGCAAATATACACAGCCACTGCACGGACCCTTAGAAGCCTTTTGCATATGCACCCCGTTTTGCCATGTGCAAAGCTGGTAACAGCCACCCCACAACCAGGGAGAATAGGGGTGTCTCAATACAGCGGCCTGGCAATGCTTAGAGGGTGCAAAGTCACTGCGTGCAACTCCCTGTTTTCATCTTTGCTGTGCTTGTCCTTCCTTTCCCATTTCCTCCTCTAGATACTCTTGCAGTTCTTGGAAGTGAAAGGACCAACTGGCAGCTTCTCAGTAAGACACAGGTTGTTCGTTATGTGAGTTCCTGGTCGAAGGAGCACTGGGACTGGGTGCTGGGAGCAGCAGGGTCTGGGTGACCAGAGCCCCTGGGATTGGCAGTGCTGCTGCTCCGCACGGGCACCAAACCCCACGTACCCTGGCCAGGCGGGGCTGCTTGAGCCGACAAACCCCATTCCTCTTCTTCCACCAGGGCGACTTCTGCACAGGAGCCTGCCTTCTGTTACACTACAAATGAGAAATGATATAAAAGAAGCCTGGTCTTTCCACAGCCTTGTCCCTGCTGCTTCACAGGGTGCTGGGGACCATTCAGGCCGCCTGGGGGGCCACAGTCTCACCAGGAAAGGGAACTGGCTGCAGCTGTGGGTGCCCCCAGGCTGGTGCTCTCTGGATCCCTGGGCCAGGCAGCGCCTGGCCGCGAGCACCAGCCTCCTTGTTGTGCACACAGCCAGAGACACGAGACGGAGCCTGACGCCTGTGTCTAAAGCACCATGTGTCTGGAAAGTCAGCACAGCAGGAGTACGGTTTGCCCTGCGCCACGATGTTCTTCACCACGGTAAACAACTGCA